CTGGGGAACTGCCCCTTGCGTACTGACCATTTGAAAGAATTCAAGTTGATTTCACGGAGTTGCCAAAAGTGGGGAGGTTCAAATTCGTGCTTGTGATTGTGGACAAATTGACTCATTGGGTGGAGGCTTTTTCTAGCCCAGAGACAACGGCTCAGACAGTGTCCAGAAAATTGTTGAAAGAAATTATACCCCGATATGGGGTGGTGAATTGCATTGATTCGGATCAAGGGACACATTTCACATCAAAGGTTATTAAGCAGATGGCTGATGTGTTAGGCATTTGGTGGGAATACCACACTCCGTGACATCCCCAGAGTTCGGGACAAGTGGAAAGGATGAATCAGACCTTGAAGGTCCAGTAATCTAAATTGATTTTAGAAACTCGGATGTCCTGGTTGAAATGCCTGCCTTTGGCACTGCTTAATATCCGGACAATGCCTCACTCGGAGATGGGGCTCTCGCCATTTGAAATGTTATATGGAATGCCATATAGACATAGAATGCCGGTGGAACACCCCAGGTTTGAGGATATCTGGTTGCAATCAACAAAAATTTGCAGGAACTCAGAAAACAAGGGATAGTGGCCCAGAGTGCTCTTCTGGGATTTGCTATCCACAAAATCCAACCAGGTGACAGAGTGCTGGTGAAAGTGTGGAAGGAGCTGCCCCTCTCTCCTCACTGGGAAGGTCCCTTTCTTGTGCTCTTGACAACAGACACGGCCATTTGGACGGTGGAGAAAGGCTGGACACACGCGTCCAGGGTGAAGAAAAGTCAAACATCAGGAGGAAGCGCCCGAGTGGAAGGTCACTTCTTCCCCAGGGGACTTGAAACTCAGACTCCAACGTCCTTGTAAATGACCGATGGCGAGTGGATAGGTTGTATACTGTCAGATTGTGTATGCTATCTGTTTGTACACTTTAAGTGTGAATATTGTCAAGGAGTTTTTGTTATTCACTGTAGAAGGGGACAGAGGCTGAAGGGGCTGTGCACTCAGTGTCTGAAGGAAGAGCTTAGGCTGACTGACCGTAGCCTAACCTTAGCCACCAATTTGGGTATCATTGAACTGGATTCACAGGAGGTGTTTCACATTTTTCAAAACAGGGTGCGTGGAAAGCTTAGATCAAAAGCAGAGATTCTGGATGTGGAGTGCCGGAAATCCATCAGGGTCCCGTGCAGTTCCGACGCCATCAGAGTGTTACGGTGGGGCGCCTTTAAGAGGAGGTATGTGGCTAGGTCTGGTGGCACCCCAGAGGGTGGAGGCAAAGGCAGAGGAGTACGCCTGGTGGGAATCCTGACTGGCCTGAGCCTTGTTGTGTGCAGGACGCAGAGTCTGCACAGTGAGGTCCCAATGAGAGGCGGAAACAAGAGCTCCGCAGATGAGTGCGGAAAGTGCACTCAGGTGGTCCCAGTCGCAGGGGACGGGGGACACTCAACATACCAAGTCCCGAAAGAATGTCTCAGGGAACCTGACAGGTACTGTTGGAAGAATGGCTTGAAGGTCAAATTGTGTGAACTGGAAACAGGGATTTGGTGTATCAATCCCAAGGGGCAGTCAGATGAGCAGGAGCATCAAATATGGAAACAAAGTGTAGAAACAATGTCAGTCCCCATTTGTAACCAATGTAACCGGACCACGTGGGTTGGGGGAAAGACAGAATTGATCTTTGTCATGTACCACTAGGTGAATCCACTGTGTTATGACAATGCGAGACTGGGGATATGCATGATGAACGGGAAAATGTACTGGATGGCGAGAAATGCTAAGTTTGACAGCAAATTTACCTTGAACAGAGACCCACTCATATTGGATTTGGCACAGGCAAATGATGAAGGTTGTGTCTGCAATATGACCGGGTTGTCTGTTTCACAAGAAACAAAAATGATGAGGATCCTGAGGGGAGAATGAGAGAGATAACTCAGGAGCTGAGATGAAGGGAGTCAGAATTGAGGAGAAAAAGTGTTGAACAGGAAAGATTGAAAACACTGGGAGAACAGTACAAAATGCTGGAGAAACAATATGCTGATGGGGAACTACCTTCCCCAGACAGGAACCTGTTCATTGACTTGATGCAAGAGATTGCAACTGAATTAGGATTGTCAAATTGTTGGATTTGTGGGGGGCTGAAGTCAGTAGAAAAATGGCCTTGGAAAGGGGAAGGTTCAGCTCCAGAACAGCTTTTGAAATGGGACAATCTGAGGGTCTCAAAATCGGCACAGAGACCTGAGGGATGGATTTTGGACCAGAGGGTGATTGGAACCATCTGCATCAGTTGAGAAGGAAAGGAGTACACTGAAATGGTGGGATACACTCCATGTGTGTCTACCCTGATGGTGAACTCAAACACAAAAAGCAAGGTCTGGCAGCCAGAACCCCCTTCAGGGTACTGGAGCTGGAAGAATGAGACAAATTGTGGATGGAACAAAAGAATGGTACTGTGTTGGGTCAAAAATCCAGGAGTAAATCCTTTCCAATCCTTGGAGGGCATGAGAGAATACTGGGGAGACCCAGGGAGAATAAACATCGGATGGAAAGCCTGGATGGAATTTATTGGATTTGTGGAAAGAAGGCATACAGTGAGTTACCCCCAAGATGGAAGGGATCATGCACTTTAGGCATGATCCAGCCAGTGTTCTTTACTCTCCCGAGAACAAAAAGTAACCTATTAGGGGCTCCATTGTACGAGACCCTGAGAAGGGAGAGGAGAAGCCTGAAAAAGATGATACCTGTGATAAGTGGTAAGCAAACCTGGGGGGAGGAAGAGTGGCCAGCGGCACGAATAATTGATTATTATGGGCCGGCCACGTGGGCTCAGGATGGAAGCTACAGGTATAGGACTCCAATTTATCTACTGAACAGACTGATTTGGCTGCAGGCAGTGGTGGAAATTGTATCGAATCACACCTCTGAGGCCCTGGATTCACTGAGTCGGCAGAACACCCAGGTACGGGCCTTTGTGTACCAGAATCGAGTAGCTTTAGACTATTTGCTGGCCGAGGAAGGGGGAGTGTGTGGAAAATTCAATGAATCAGAATGTTGTATTGAAATTGATAATTATGGGGAAACCATAAGAGGTTTGGCGGCTGAAATCAAAAAGGTGGCCCATGTCCCTGTTCAAAAGTGGAACTCGATTTTACAATCTTCATGGTGGGACAAACTTTTCGATGGGGCCCAGTGGAACAAAGTGATGTTTTTTGTGCTCTGTTCAGCAGCCGGAATCCTATTCCTGCCTTGTCTAATTCTGTGTTTTATTAGACTGATCCATTCTGTGGTCCAGGGAATGCAGATAGCAATAGTTTCCATGGATCCGGAGGGGGTTTCCGGAGGCAACACATCTAAAATCATGAGACTGGGAGAAAGAAAGTATGCCAGCAACGCTGCCAAAGTATTGGCAAAGTTCGAGAAACGAGCAGAATAATATGGGATATCAGGGTGTTCCACAAGGAGAATACAGGATAATGTAAAAGGTTACTCTGTTTGTGAAAGACCCTTAATGGTGGTGGGTAGAAGTAGAAATGAAAGAAATTTAGCAATTTGGGAGCATGAATTAAATTGGTGATATAAATGGGGAAGGATTGTAGTATATGGTAGAGATAATTCATGCTATTAATGTATAAAATATTGTAAAATCCAAACTATGTCTTTTGACCATCCTGGCCGGGAGCAGTTGTCTTATTACATCTAGTTCCTGGACGTGTGTTAAGATAAACACAGACGCTTTAACATAAGAATAGAAGCTTCCAGGTCAATAATCGTTGGCTTCCCCGGGTTGCCGGGCCCACCTGAAAACAATTATCGCCCTGTCGATTGCATCTGTCGAAATAACCAACGGCGCCACCCTGATACATGTGAATACATGGCTTCTCCGGGGTCGACGGACAACATCAAGACACATGGACTGGATCTTTGTCCACCTCTGCACATGTAAATCAACGACGATGCATGGGAAGAGATACAAAGAACATTTGGTCATCTCTGCCTCGGGCAGAATAAACTGTATAAAAACTCGCTGCACGAGGCAGCATTCATGAACTGGGGAGACTCTGACACTCAGAGGTCAGATCCGTGTTCACCCGGCGCCGATCCCGGGCTCGATGCTGACTCTTTGGCTGTGATGGTTTCGACGACCGAACTTCGGTCTCGCAGACAAATTAATAAATCTTTGCTAAATTTTCTTATAAGATTGGCTCATGATTTGATCATCTATAACACTACCAAACAGAGAGTTGTTTCAACTCTACTTTCAAACCACTGGAACAAGACTGCAATCATTTAATCCATAATTACACTCCAGCCTCCCTCTTTCCTCACATCTGACTTTAAGTGTGTATCTGTAAGTTATACCCATTCTATGGGTATGCTGCATGTTGACTTCAAGCTTCTCTTATTTTGAAAAATGCAACATTGCCTGCAGGGTACTCAGATAACTTTTACAAAAATAACATTCCTAACTTACTTCTTTGGTAATACTGCCCTATTTTACCCCTTCAGTGACTGCTTTCTCTGTAAAATGTAAATGTTATTCCTTTCAGAGTCCTTCATGCCTTATCTTACACACTCTTGTTCACTAAAATGTTGTCCCCAATTATTAACCAGTGACAATAATCTCCATCACTTACTTGATAAGTCTTCAGAAAACATTTGGGGTTTTTTCCTCCATGCTGCCCATCCCATAAATATACACTTTTTTTTTTTTTCATTGTTTTCCTTTAATTATATTTCTTACCTTCTGTGATGCCCCCAGAAAGCCTGATAATGATTAGATTACAAGTGTGATGAGTCCATCATGCTCACCATGCTGCATGGTACTTTCTAAATTGCTTCTTTACCTTTTAATCCATTTACTGTACTGACCACTTATGTCCTGCTATCACTCCTGTGTTTTATTTTCACTGATTTGTTTCTGTATCTTTTTATGTTTCCATTGTGTCTCACATAGTACAGTCTAAAAGTAGTGATCCCATACATTACAATACTACCAATACTAAATAATAATACTAACCTTGATTGAGTTGAGGTAAATTAGGACATTAGGAAATTGTCTAAGAAGAAAGAAGCAGGAGGACATGCACTGTCTCCCTGGAATGGTATCTAAAATTCAAAAGAGAAACGCAAATTTGTAGAATTTAAAAACACATGGTAATGGAAATCACTGCCAAGATTGCTGGCACCTCTGAAAGCAGCGAGTTTCTAAAAATAGTGTAGCTTGCCTTTTCAGGCAAAGGACCATACTGGAGGTTAGGAAAAACCATTTGTTCATCTTGTCAACTCTCTCTACAGTATCCAATAACTTTTTCAAGACTTTGTTCAACAGCAAACTCTACAGAGACAAATGACAATTTTACCACAGGCCTTTCCTGTGACGCAATTTACATAGTATAATTTTACCATGAATTATTCTTATTTGTAGGAAATGACCCTTTACACAAAGCCTGGGTTTGCTATTCTTACACCATTAGCCTTCTTTCTTCAAAATTACGCTTTTCAGTTATCCCGGACAAAGAAATTCTACATATTTTAATTTTAGTTTGAGTTAGAGAGTAAACTTGCTATACTGAAAATATTGTTATGAAAAAGAATTAATACAGGAACAGGTAAAATACTAAGTGATATCAGACAGTATGGAAATAAATGTCCATGCATGTGGATTACCCTATTGCTCACAAGAGGTAAAGCCATAAATAAGTTAGACATATCAGTTGGAATGAACATCACACAACTTTGCTGCTGTCTATGTCATCATAAACTCTGCTGTAACCATTTTATGCTGTCACCTACTCTGACATTCAAACTGTGTCACTGAAAACTATCTCAAAGCTTTTTTAGAGATTCTGAAGTGAGCTCACTAGGACTAATTTTTGTAAGACCCAGCCAGCAGACATGGATGAACCCAGGTAGCAGCTGGGAAGGCCTAAATGGAAGTGATATCAAATCAGTACTATTCCACTACATCAAGCGATCGTTAGAGAGGATGCTGCTCTGTGCAGTTTGGAAAGGTGACAAAAGATAAGATCTAAGGCTACCAATATCCCTGACATAATCTGCTCCTGACTGTTGGTTACCATCAATCCATTCACATCAAAAAATTAAAATAACTTCTCTGTATGAAGAAATTTCATGTAACAAAAGACCAATATTTTGACTCCATACCACTATACAAAATTGAGCATTCATCTGGAAAACAGATTATTCTCCCTTAAATATGGTAGGTAGTAATTATTCCTGGAAAGCACTATATAAGATGTCAAAATACATTTCAAAGAAAAGCAAAATATTCTCATTTTTTATCTTTCAGCACTAGGATATAGTGAGCTTGGATGTCCTGTCATTTCCATATGGAGACAATCAATCCTTATCTGTGTCTGAACCATATCATTCAGTTCTCCAACCTCGGAAGATTATTTGGTTATTTATGAAGTGTTCACTTGGGAGCAGAAACTCGCCTGTATATTTATTTGTCCTTTTTTACATGCAGGTATTGTTTTCATGACAAATATATGCCTTTCACAGACAATAACAGAAACAGTTTTATAAAAAAAGAGCAAAGAAACATTGATTAACAAGACTAGAGATAAGTCAAAAATGCCCCTTTTCTCTGAAATTTGATTTCTGAAGTTCATAAAATCACAATTTATTTTGAACAAAATTTTAAAAATGCAAAACATGCAAAGAAGACTTAAAACTGAGCATGCATTTTTAGTAAAAATCAATCACAGTAACAAAATATTAGAAACACAATATTTCCATAAATGATTCAAGTGTTTCTAAATTTTAGTATTTATTCTTATGTCCACATTTTGGTAGAAAGTTTTATTATCCCAGCACACCATCCTCCATATATTTTACTGAAAGATTCTGTTTAAAAAACCAAACAAGTTAAACATCTGTGTATCTCATACAACTCAGCAATGAACACTACCTAGTGACAGAAAAACTAGAATTTTCTAATTCACCCCATGTGGCTCATGCAGAAAGAGGAAAAAATTACCACTTGAAAAAATTACTTAGGGTGACCTAAGAGAACCTTAAAGAAAAAAACTGCATGAAGTTAAGAAGAAATGTTTCATTCCTCTCACCCAACATCAAATATGCCTGAGTTGGTCCTAAAAGAAGACCACTGAAAACAAATGGGGTGCTCTTTTTCATTATACTTGCACTGGTTTTGGGTAGTTTGTAAGACTTATGCTAAGCACCAGAAACACTGCATTTATTGGGAATATTAATTTGTTTTCACTGATGTTCCTCTTGCCCCATTTCCTCCTTAAAAGAAATCTGATCTGTTTAATGTCCCATCCAGTCGATACCCTAGTAGAAAAGAATGAGAACTAGCTATAAAAGTCTACTTATATCCTCCTTCATAATATCATTTCATGCCATTAGAATTAAGAATTTTTATCAAGCTGAAAAAAACCCCAAGCTGCTGTTTAGGTGTTATATCTGCTGCTAGAGAATGAATACTGACTCCTACACTCTAAGTGCTACTTGGATGCTTTTTAGTTTTTGTTTTGTCTGTCCCCTGTTGAAGTGCACAACATCCAAGATGAGATAAAACTTGTACATTTAATGGAAATGACTTGCACATTAACTCAGTTTACTCCATGTTCCTTGAACTTCCAAGGCAGAGATCTAATTAAAAAAAGCAAAGGGCTTAATTGATGACTACAAATGACTTTACAAATAAATGACACTGTGTTTTTCCTAAACTCCTGTTACTGCTTTTCTTAATGCAGTCAATGGGATTTCTACAGTTAACAAATGCAAGCCAGAAAAAATATTCCACATCTTAATTTTAATCCATTATTTCTTGATAACGCACATTAAAAGAAGAAGCCTTGTAGACTGTTGCAGTTTAACCCCAGCTGGCAACACTAAGTACCACTCAGCTGCTTGTTCACTCCATCCTCCCCTCCACTAAAAAAAAAAAGTAAAGCTTGTAGGTTAAGACAAGAATGGTTTGATAATTGAAAGAAAATATTACTATTAATAATAATAGTAATAATAGAAATGAAAAGGGGACAGAGAGAGAGAGAGAGAGGGGAATAAAACTCGGGAGAAACAAATGACCCAGAATACAATTGTTCACCACCAACCCAGGCCCTCTCCAGAGCACAGTAAGCCCACCCCTCCCAGCCAACTCCCCCTGGTTCATGTACTGGGCATGGTGTTCTACAGTATGAAATAACCCTTCGGCTCATTCAGATCAGATGTCCTGCCCATGCTCCGTTCCAACTTCTCATGCAGCTTCTCCCTGGCAGAGCATGGGAAACTGGAAAGTCCTTGACTTTGCAACAACTAAAACATCACTGTGTTATTAACATTATTCTCATACTACATTCAAAATGCAGCACTGTACCATTCTCTAAGAAGAAATGTAACTCTATCCCAGGCTAAACTGGAACATAGGCCCAGTTGCAAGCAAAGACACAGCAATGGATTTCCTCACTCTAGCAAAAAACTACCTGCTTCTGTATTATAAATCTGCAAAGCAGCTAAGCAACTTGATAAAGCCCTTAAAGGTCCTTGGAAGGACTAGCTGGATGGGAAGTGCTGAAGCATGATGTACATGCTTTAACAGCATGGCTGGCTACTTAGGAAAAGCCCAAGTATAAAAACAGGAGGAATTCTGTTCTCTTTTCTAAATCCAGCAAAACAAATAACAAGTATTCAACATAGTGGCTAATATGCTAAGCTACGTAAAAACATAAAACCTATTATATTGGATCAAGGTTTGTCTAGTTCAGAGTTTGCTGGCTGAGAATATGCAGCTATAGAAAGAAGATATTCTAATTTCACATACAATACATACTGTGGTATGTAATGGCACTTCTGCTGAAGTTTATCCCAGCTTTCAACAATCTACTGAAGACTTCTTAATCACCTCTGAAAATTTTGTGTTAAACAGCCAATGGTTGACAACTTTTTTTATACATTTTATACATTCTGGTTCTCACAAGTTTCTCTATCAAATAAGTTGTGTTATCTGAAAAAGTAATTAATGCTGTTTACTTTTATTGTCTTAAGCGATAATATATGTCAATGGTCTTTGATTTTTGTATTGTACAGTAAATAATTCTTCCCTATTCCTCTTTTCCTTGTCATTTGTGATGTATATAATCAAACTCAGTCATCATTTTCAGCCCATGTATTCTGCTTTATTAATCTCTCCTTTTCTCCTACTTCAAGAATCCATCCCCTTTCTTTGATCATCCTTGCTATATTTATTGTATCCTTTCTTGATCTACCATTTTTTAAAAGAAATGTAAGAACCAGAACTGTAGACATGATTCAAGGAAAAGAATCACACTGTATACAATGACAGTAATTATTTTTGTTTTCACTTTCCTCATCAATTCTTAAGATCCTCCTCAACTTTTCAGATAATTTTGCTAAATTTAATTTGCATATTATTACCCAGTCTTGTATAGTCTTTCACATCTTTCATCATTGTGGAAGCTTTTATTTGTACTACTATGGGTAATTTTGTACCACTGGCAAACCTAGTCATGTCATTATTTGTCTCCTATAGCTCATTAATTATGAATACAAGCCCTTTCTTTAAAGAAACAAAAGGTTCTTTCAAGTGTTCAAATCAGGTGCATTTTATCCTTTTCTTCCTTATAAATTTTCTAATTTTCTGCCAGAAATGAGGAAGGTTATTATGTAGCTTCTCTTCTTAGGATTACTACTGTGGACATTTTTTGAGGTATTTGCTAACACGCAGATTTTGAATTTGATTATACTCAAATGACTGTAGTACAATTGTAATTTCATAATAAAATTTCAACTCAAGTGCTATGTAATTCAATATTGGTCCAGAGTTACCTGTTCACTTGTTCTTTCTCTAAGAAAGATAGAAACAAAAAGTTCATGCTGTTTATTATGCCATGTAATTGCATTTATTAGGTCGATATGGGCAGAACAAAAGTCTCCAGCTATTATTTATCTTTCTATATAAAATCTGTAATCTGTTTAATATGCCACTCACTGTTCCTATCCAGGCTGGCTGGTGAATAATTTGGCTTCAATATGGTGAGTTGCCTATCTAAACATATAATTGAAAACAATATTATGTTACTCACTGATAAAGAAAAGATATTTATTTTGAGAGAAGTTTTCTATAATATTTAGAACTATTTTTCCACTGGCATAACCTACTTATCTATATTTATGTATGTTTATGTACAACCTACGTTTATTTAATGTACAATCCCTATTGTACATTAAATCCCATCCCATAGACATTAAATACATTAATATCCTACATGTTACTTTCCTCCTATCATATAAAAAAAATTTTAGTTTTTAGCTTCCTCTCCTAAAATCAGGCATTCCATTTTATCCAAATTCTTTAAAAACATCTAATAGTTGTATAAAAACACTTACATACATGGGCTTCATGTGCTTGGTTTTTTGTTATATCCTACCTAAACAGAACTGTTTGCCTCTTCTATTTCCTATGTACAGTTTGATGATCTCCATCTGTTATTAATTTGAGGTTAAACAAAACCCCTCACACTATTTTACCTTTAAAGGAATTGCCCTGAACTGTGTGGTCTTCTTTATGGCATTTCCTCCCACAAACTTTTAAGAAGATGCGAAAACAGTTCTTATATGGAAGTACCACAAGGGTCAGATACTTACAGTACTGATCCTTCCTTTTACCTCTGATTGGAACCAATCCTTCCCATAGGTTTGTTTTTTCCAAGTAATCCACCTTCCTAAGAGTGGATTCTACTGCCATTCCCCCTACCATTGCAAGGTTGAAGTCTCAGCCTCTCTATCTTTATTTTGCATATGAGTTTAAAAGTATTTCACAGTAAAATTCCGACTTTTGGCTTCCTAACAATTTCAATTTTGGGCTATATCTTGGCAAGAAATCCTTCCCTGACTATCTTTTCCCCGACTATCTCTGTATTATTTTTGTCCATTTGTGCTCTGGTCACTCATCACACCTGCATGACTGTTACAGGCATTAAGATGTTCCCCCGAGTCCTCCACTGCTATAGCTCATATTGTTTCTTCTGTTTTCTGGGATCCCAACTCTAAAGAGATAGCTTCTATACAAAAGGAAGGAGTTAGGGAAATCTCCTCTATGGAACCACTTCCAGCCTTCCAACATGAAATTCTCTGATGTATGACCTCAGTAGTACCAGTGCTGCAAGGGGAACAGAATAGAATGGCTCAACAGTATTTCTGAGTATTTCTTTTATCAGTGATGCCACTCTGTCTCTGGAGCTCCTTCTCTTTAGTCACCATGGACACAGGAGACAGCATTCACTCTCTGAGGACCATGAGCTGTCTGCACCATAAACATGCACAAGTTACCCACCTAAGGAAACATTACTAAGTGACAATGCCTACAAAGGAAACTGGGAAGCCCCATTAAGTCTGTATTTCTATGTTACAACTACTGACTTCTTTTAATTTGGGAATTTTGGTTTTGGCAAAGAGAAGGGAAAAGAAGAACTTGGTTTGGTCTATTATTGAATAAGTAAAAATAAATATTGAAACTATACTGATTTTGGGGCATGGTGGTGGGTGGGTTATAATGCCTTTTTTTCTCTCTTATTCAAGCAAGAAGTTAGTCCCAGAGCTTCCATTTATCCCTGTAGCCAAAGTCCTCTTTACATCTTTATGACCCTCAGTTTCAGAGCACACTCCATGCTAGGACTCTATGTACTCAACAGGCTTTCATTAGTGGTCCTAGATTTGTACCTGTGTATCTCTGCCTGTGAGGTTTCAGCTGCTTACTTCATCTAATTAATTAGGCTGGTTTCTTCTGTTTCTCTAATGGGATTATTAGGCAAAGGCAAGCTGCCACAGAGTCTCTCACAAAGACTTGCAGTTTGCAGTACAGCCTCTTCTCCAGAGGAATTCATACAGTAAGGTTTGGAATTGAGACTTCTAATTTAAACTTTCAAATTTGTTTTAGTCCTTTTGAAACTCATCCTATAGAAACAAAAGCCTAGCAATATTCCTGCTAACAGTCAGCAGTTAGACACAGATATGATGGTATATACTTGGCTATTTTAAGATTGCTTACTTAATGGCAAAAGAACATTTCAAACATACCACATTCACTGGCTGATTCCCCCACCAACTGGAAGAACTGTTGAGCAATTTTCAGATGATCTCTCTGGAAGAAGAATAAAAAAGAAATCCAAGATGAGTTACAGGGTTGATGCTACAATACACAGTGAAAATACGGTCTGAGGAACACTTAGGGAGCAACTAACAAATAAACCAGGGCTGAAGCAAAAAGAGAAAAGGCAAATGTGCCATTCTATGTGTCTAGACAAAGAAGAACACCATACAAAGCAAATGGGGGATTTGGAAATAGAATAGAGAAATCAAATTCATCTTGATCTACTATTAAGACCAGCATGCAACAGAAATTTGCATTTCACTCATTCTGGACTGATTACTGTACAGGAAGTTAAGACACTCAGAGATCCTGCAATCTAAATAAGAAATTACTGCCTCTTTCACTCCATTCCAGTTTCTACAGATCTGTTCACATTGTGTTGTTGGAGAAGCTGGAGAACCTCATGGGCTTTACTCACCGAGCCCATTTCTTGTCCAAGTGCTGCATTTACCACCCCTTTGAGGATGTACTCCTGGAAAAAAAAAAAGTTAAAGGGATCAGAGAAGACATGGTGAAGATTTCAGAAGACACATAAAAGCCTCCGTGTGCATTATTCTTCATTAATTCAACTCTATCACAACTGGGTTTGGTAGGCAGCTGGTTAGTGTGGTATTGGTTAAGCACTGTACTAATTTAGTCCCCCAAAATACATTCTATTTGCTAGGTAGTCCCTTCTACTAAATATGTTAGATGCAAAGGGGTACTGTGTTTTTTGGTAAGTCTTATGGTCAAAGACAATGCACCAGGAGGAACATGGTACCATCCTTTCATGCCCTCTTCATCATCATATCACCAAGAAGTGCATAATTGTTATACTAAAGCACAGATCCCCTTTCAAATATGCACATTGGTTAACCATAACCACTGACATCCTTGCTGCAAAATTCATAGTGTTTCTCATCAGGGCAAATATGTTAAGAGGTTTGTGCTCTGTGGCCATGTTACTCCAGTGAAATTAGGAACAGAAGTTGAGTACCCTGTAACCTCTAGTAGGAGAAACAGCTATAGTTTAATTCTTCTCTGAACAAATTTTTCTCAGTGTGTAACAGACTCTTTTGTCCTACCCAAATCTTATAATTAAGAGTTATATCTATAAATCTGTTTTAGTAGGTACTCCTGATAAACCAGGACGACCCTGTTACAGAGGTAAACACAGAAGAAGAGACATCTTTCAAGAGACCAAGAGACCAATGAGAGAATGTAAAGAAATATTCTGAGAGTACTACCCAGGATAGTAAGAAATCATTTTAGGACACCAACTGCCTTAGAGATGCCAAATTATTATCTACAGGCATCGTGACAAAGAAGAAATTTGAGAAGTACTCAAGTAGGTTTTATGAGTAGTTTTGCAAGTGTTAGCAGGGAGTTCTTTAAAAGTGTGAGTGAGAAATGGGAAAAAAAAAAAGCACAAATATTCTCATTTCAAAATATGATCAAGAATTAAAAGCCAAGTATATTGGGACAATATCCTACAATAGGAACAATAGCTTCAGAAAACCATTCAAGTAAGTTTTGCTATACTGAAAAGTGCAAGAAGTGTAAAGCGTAAAGTGTAAAACTCCTCACTCCTCAGCACAGAATCACCAGATCTGTGTTTTTGAGGTTTTCCTTTTCCTTCCCTCCCTCCTTCCCCCCCCCCCCTCCATCTAATTCCTTACATAGACTCATGAAAGGTCCCTTTTATGCCCAGCTTTGTGACCTTTGGAAAATAAACAGCAAAGAGGAATAAATCAGAGACTAAAGATGCTGGAACAGCCACAGAAGAAAATTACAGTAGCAGCCAAGGGACACTGTAGCTTTCACTCATGGCAGCCAAAGTGTGATGGGATTAGAAAATACCATTTATTAAAACTGTTTCATCTAATCTAGCTCATTTTAATTGAAATGGCTTCAGGACAACCTATATGAGCATCTGAGCTAGCAAATCTGAGGGATGAAAGCCACACCAGGCAGACAACCAGCTATAGTTGTAAGGGGGCTTTTACCTATGCAGTAATGGTCCATTTCCCAAAATCAAGGCTGCGCACAACAGAGCTGTATTCTTAGCTAAACCCAGGTGCTACAGTAATAAACAGGCCAAAGTACTCATATAGGCACCTATATACTACTTTATGCATGCACATAAATTTATTGTTAATGAAGGGCTGAAAACACAAGAGTTTTAAAAGTGGAAATGGGGCAAGCTGTCCTCAGGACACCAGTTTTGTATGTGGCAGATTTCATATTAGTTTATAACCTCTGTCTTTATGTGTCATGACATCATTTTCCAATTACCTGTGGAGCTGTAGGTTCCAGGTCCTTAATCAGGTTATAAGCCTCCTGCACATCATCTGAAATGTCAGACATTAGAGTGCATGACAAGCCAGAGCACACTGTATTAGAACAAGTCACTCACCATCTACAACAGTCCCTATTAGTCATAGACTAAGAAATAAACCACTTAGACAGAAGGAGAAAGGTAATGATAAATCATTGTGCATTTCTATCACAATGGTGATAATTTTCTATAACTCAAATAAAAACCACAGTGGGTAATATCTGCTTTATTACTACAGTTTTCCTAGCAGAGATGGTTTGGTCCCTTTGTTCATAATGCAGTGGCTGCCTTCTCAACAGCACAAGGTTATAAAATAATAAATAATAAATCCATCATCTTCCTCTATTTTGTTTTCTCATATTTATTTAGCCCACAAAGAGAATAGGTAACATGATGCTGTAGGAAAACTTCATCTTTTCCTTAGTAATATATCAGCATCTGTCCAGCAGATCCTAATTAAAAAGGAAAAAGCACTACTAGTATTGAAGTTTAAATGTGAAGTTTAAAATCCATAAATTACTTCATTTCCACACAAGAATTATATAAACTGAATAGATCATAAACTTTCCCTGAATTAAAAAATATGTTGGCACTATGGTTGGCTTTGAAAATCAACCTAGTGAAGATCCTCTGCTACTGGCAAAATTTTGTTAATACAGCATTACACCAACTGCCCATACAAATAAGCCTTATCAAACAAATTTTTTTTTCACTAGAACATAGGATCCATGCAGCCATTTAAGGCAATATGCACTGGAGCTGCCAGGCTCCCATCCATAACCTCTGCTTTCTTATCTACTCCCTTGACTCCCTTGAACAGTTCACATAGTAAGGCAGCATTACCTTTGCTTTTATTTTTTCCCTTTTTTTTTTTTTTTTTTAATACATTTTTGGCTAGCTCAGACCACCACCACAAAAAACAAAAAAAAAAAAACCAAAAAAAAAAAACCAAAAAAAAAAACCAAACCAAAAAAAGAGACAGTAACCCTTATTTTTATTAATCCAGTGTAGACTATCAACACAGAACTATGCTCTTCAGGCTCCAACAGAAGTGACTAGCAAATCTCACGGCAGCAGATTACACCAGGATACCAGCTGACCTCAAACCCTGTTAGAAGTCACTATGCTGAAGAGTTGAAAAAACAGGATTCATTTTCGTGCTTCAGTCATTCCAGTTCAGAGCTTATATCATCAGCACAACCCTACGTTTATCAGAAACCTTTTCAGTTTTGGAGAGACAGCTGTAGTCATCAGAAGTAAGGATTTCTCACTTTCCTAAGAAAGTTGCTACCCTAGCAAGACTTAAAAATGGAAACTTAGGCAAACCAAAAAAGAGGTTTTAGTCCAAATTCCCCTTGATCTTTATCAGTACACGTGTCATTTGTATATCACAGTAAAGAAAAGAACCTAACTAATGAAAATTACTGCAAGGTTAACAGCATATGAGTGAACAAGACTGATTTTTAACTGATGCATGAGATGCACTTTGTTTCCATGTAAGTAGAACTTAATTTGACACATAAGTTATTATCAACAATATTGCTGTGCAAGATAATTGGTAATAGTACTAATATTGCCTATAAGTGACACTGGTAACAATAATACTGGACAGAAAGGTGGCTGGGTACAGCAGACATGGATTTACCAATGCCAAAATGTTCTCAAGGCGTGACTGGTTGTGTGAATAAGGAGATAAAGGTTGATGCTGTATATCTTGACTTTAGCAATGTCTTTGAAATGATCCCTCATACAAACTTGAAAGATAGGACTGGCTAAGTAAAACTATAAAGGGATGGAAAACTGGCTGGACTACCTAAGAACAGTGACCAGTTGTACAAAATCCAGCAGGTGGTTCATCACTAATCAAAGCCCCCAGCGACTGATACTGTTGAATAACTGATTTTTATTAGTGATCCAGATGATAGCATAGAGTACTCGAAGCAAGTCTGCAAATGATGAAAGATTGTGAAGAACGCTCCCAGATATGGAGAAGTAGCTCAGTAGGCTGAAAAAAATGGGCTGAAAGAAATCTGATGAAGTTCAGTAGAGGCAAAATGCAAGCCTTGCATCTTGCTTGGTTTGAAACATGCCTGAGCAGGTGAACTGGCTAAAAAGCAGTCTGGCAGACAGTGCAGCCTTGCAGCAAAGGAGGCACATTGGATCATATTAGCATGAATGGAGCCATCACAGCAAGGGAAGGAATTCTTTATTTGGCACTTGTGAGGTTACACATGAGTACTGTGTCCAGGTTTGGGATCTGACAATCCACACAGACTTTGAAACACCGGACTGAGCCCACCTGAGGGCTCCCATGGCAGGAAGAGCGCTGAGGAGAAACTGAGAAAACTGAGTTTGTTTAGCCTTCAGAAGAAAGGATCTCAGGGGAGATTTTCCCACTGTCTACAATTAACTGATAAGAGGATATAGAATAGATGTAAACAGGTTCCAAAGAGTGAGAGAAAGGCAGTGGACTCAAGGTAGAACAGAGGAAGTTCTAACTGGCTGCTTGTCTGGACAAAGCTTTATCTAATTGGACCTGCCTTGAATCACACAGCTGGTCAACCCACTGTTGAATAAAAGAACACAATGGGAGAATAGGAATAGCTCTGAAAAGCTCAGATATAATTCAAAGAAGCTAGCAAACACAGGAGAGATACAAGCAGAAAATCCTTACCAACTGATTCTGGCTACCTACTTGCATTCTTTAGGAATTGTAAAGTAGATTTTAATGAAATATCTTGTTCACAGTCACTTTGGTTCATATTTTGTTTGTGCTGTATTTACAGAAATGGTTGTCCTTGCCTTTACAGGACATATGCCTACCATTCTCACATATTCAGGCAGAGGAGAGGTCCCCTCACTAGAAACAAATAAACACTACCATCCCCAAAGCCATCTCCTGCAACCCAAAAACTCCAATACTCTGCTGAAGTAGGCTTTTTTGGAGTGCACAGTATTAAAGCCTTCTCTGCAAACCATGGGAACTTTTACTTTGCTATTTTACAGAGTGAAAATAAATTGGAAGGGAAGTGAAATAAATTACGTTTTACTGCAAAGAAAAAAAAACAAACATTGAATAAGTTGAGATAAGATGAATTAATGTCATGACTGAAGCTATGAAAGAGCCAGAGGAAGGTGTATTTACCTTGCTGGAGATAGTAAATCACAAGATTCAGTCTTGCCTCAGGAATAACATCAACCAGAGGAGGCAGGACTTGCAAAGCCCCTTCTCCTCCTCGGAAAACCACCTGAGGAGAAAAGCAGCATATTGATAATCATGTATCAGAATCTCCTCTATGATAAATTAATTCAAGGAAATTAATCCTTAAATTCTTGCATAAACAGTAGTAAAAGGTCAGTGGCTCTGGCATTAGTTTAGTTCCTGCTTTTATATAGCTGTAGAATTACGCAGTGTGACAATCTTTACTCTGAAGAATATAAGTATTTAATCCATACGTAAATATTAACTTATTTCAGCTTTTAGCAGCTCAAAAGAGTGATACATTATATATCAAAGATTTAAAAGAATAACATGGAGTGAAGGGAACACATACAAAACTATAAACTGCTTATGATGTTTTCATATGAAAAAATTAGGCTAACAACTCCCCATTTATTGACACAGGATTGAGTGACACAGGGTCCTAAAATGATCAGGAGCAGTTGGTTATACTCCAGTTTCACATGACAGTTCCTCCAACAAGATCTAATGTACTTATTCAATAAAGCACTAAAAAAAATACCAACATACAAAATAAACAACACTAACTTAAAAAAGTCCAGTTTGAAAGCAGTTTTAGCTCTTGGAGAAAGAAATGTTAGCTTGTGATGACTGCTCTTGAAAAATGACAAGGCAAGTAACTGCCTGTCATTAAAGATGAGCAATCTACTGTTACCAGTTGTTCAGCAAAATAATACCACTGAAAGGAAAATTAACCATTAGTTACTCTTAGTGACTCTTTTACTGCAGAACACAAAAGTATTTTGCTTTTACAAGAATCTTTTTTCCTAGAACTCCCTCCTTAGTACTTTTGGGATGAAGGCTATTTTCATGAGCTATCTTCATTCCAGTCAAATTGTTCTGGTACTAAATAGAGTTCAGGGTCATCCTGACTTGTTTCTACAGTGTCTTTATTATAGGTACTCTTACACAATATACATTATTTTATTATGCCTTCAAGACTAAAAGCAACAGTAGTATTATTATTTTCTTGACACAGTCTCAAACTGTCAGGGAGAAATTCCAGGAAAAAAGTAAATACACTTGATAGCACATTCATTATACTGGTAGGATTCCTGGAATGGGACTTATATGGCAGCAGAGACTCAATCAAATCTGCAATTTTTCAAAATATTCCAATTTATTAATCATCATGAAAAGCTCTACAAGTGAGTGCAGTTCATATTAAATCCCAGAAATGCATTACTTACCAGATTGTGCTTAATGAGCTCCTTGCCAAACTCAAAAGATGATGAGGCACTGTCTGTCAAGTTTTTGAGCTCTGCCTGGAATTACATACATTCCAAAATTTTAACATAAAACCAAAAAAGCACAGAAGCCTAAGTGGAGCTTCAAATGAGCTTCAAAGCTGACACCAAAACATCTCCATTGGTGTTGGATGACTAGAAGATTTTGCCTTTCCACTTCTATCTAGTTATTTTAGCAATTGGGTAATACATATAAACACAAAACCAAAAGGGTACTGGGAAAATGGTAAGACCACTGGGCACATATGTGGACAGATGGGTTAATGTCAGGGAAACTGAAATAGGTGACATTCCTATAAGAACAGAGTGACAAGGTAAAGACCATTATCAACATTACTGATTAATACAAAGGAAAAGAAACATGTATGGAATCTTAAACTAAAATAAAGATAAGTTGAAGGACTGTCCAATAGATACCTCTGCAGCCTTTCCATTGTAAAGTCGGAAATGGTTACAAGCCTTAAGGTTAAGAGCAATGGTGCTGTCAGGAACTTGCTGAAGATAAACAGCTAGCACTTCCTGTGAGACATCATAGTAATCCAGTTTGTAATAGCACAGGGCCACATATACATTCAGAGCCAGGTATTCCCTGCAGGAAAGAGGATTAAAGAGAACCTTTAAATCCCACCAGATAGTTTAACATTTCCCCACTACAGTGCATTAAAATCAGTAAATAAAAAGAAAGTTTTCACAACTATACATATTTTACAAACACATCAAAACTGGGGCTTCTGAGAAATGCTTAGGGCTTCTCTAGTTTGTCAGCTAGGACACATTCACAGTATTTTTTTCCACAGCAGCTACTGCAGCTTTTAAAAATTATCAACAAAACTTTTGGTTTGCAAGTCTGGGAAACTTCAGTGGCAACTTCACACCAAGGAAACGTGCAGACCATGAGCATCATAATTGGCCTGGCAGAACATGATTTTCTAAGCAATATACTCAAAGACATTTAATGTGCACATAAAAGTTTGTACCAAGTACAATTATTTCAAAAAATCCTTGTCATTACAAGCAGTCAAGCCAGAAGAACTGGACAGAAAAAAGACAAGCATTTGTGAAAACTCTAAGGAAAAGGATAATTGTTATGAAGGTTACTCATTTAGCTTTGAGTGATTATTTCTGCAGGACTTGGAGGGTAAAATCTCTTTCCCAAGCATGACATGATATATGCATTATGATGAATTTCTCTGAAACATTCAAGAAGAGCTAGATCAAAATATAGCAGTAGTCTGGGACAGCAGTTTCTATTTTCTTAAAAATACTTCCAGCCACTTAGGAATTAAATTTGTTCCTTGTTAAATTCTGAATTAAAAATTTGCAGAACATGACAGAAAAACCCATCAACAAGTATCACAGAAGATAAACAGAGAAGGAAAGGATTTCAGACTTAAAGGATTCCAAGGAACTCTACATAAAATTCAAGAACCGAACCCTTCTAAGAAAGGCTAAGATGTGAAGGAGAAGTCAATAATTCAAGTCCCAAGATTGGCCATCAGAGGGGAAAAAATAAAAAGACAAAGCAGGTACATAATCATATATCATTTCAGAAGAAAAAAGTAACAAAATAAAAAAGATATCAGAATGAATTAACCAACAATTTCACAAAAAGAAAACAAGAGAGTGCAGACTTCTTTTTAAATGTGGGGTTTTCAATGATACTTTGAATGAACAAAATTAAGGAGCTGCAACTGGTGCACATGCTGTGATGAGAAAGGGACATAGCAGTTGTTAAAAATGTCTACTTTCAGAAACCAAGCAACCATTTGGAATTTAAATACCACCAATAACACAGATGCTTCAATAGGGCTTAGAGATGCGCACCGATTGTCCAGCAGAATGCGCTTGTAGATATCAATGGCTTCTTGGTAGTGGGACCGCATGTAGTGGATGGATGCCAGGCTAAGCTGATCTTCTGTAACATCCTGCAGGTTCTGGTGAGAGCTCATCAGTTTCTTTTCATCACTGAACTAAAAAGAGTGGGACACATTCTCAGAAGAGTTCAACAAAAAAAGCTTTTTAATTAAACAGGTTAGTTTTGTCCTTGCTGGTAAACACCATTAAATATCTGGAAAACTGCTGTTACTTTAAAGTTAATTTGACCAGTAGAGAAAGACAAACATAAAGAAGCAGATGAGTTCAAACTGAATAAATGTTAGGCTAAAACTAAGCACACATTTTCCTTTAAGGTGTGATTTAGATATAATTACATGTCATGTGCTTTGATGGATAAGAGGGAAAGAGCGGAATTAATTATTTCACAAACAAAATTTTGCAACACAAAATTTCATTGTAATTATTTAAGCCAGCAAAAATTTTGCTGTTTGTAGATCCAAATCTAATGTCTCATGCATAGCAGAAAAACACAAGACTTGCAAACACACAAGCCCTAATTTTACTAGTCTTCTTAACAGCATTAACAAGTTCACTGTCACCAGCCTCCAATTTCTAGTTTCTTTAAGTAAATCATTATTTTTAAAAGCATTGCTGAATAGCACATATAACACACACACAGAAAGCTAAAAAAAAAGGAACAGAGTTAAACGTGCCCATTATATTTGTATTACAATAGTGAGGTTGAGGCTATTTACCAATCAGTCTGCTCAAATCACTTATTCCACTGCTTCCCTTTGCTGGTTTTGCTGATTCAACAGTAATTATGAATTTCTCTTAGACACAATTTGTAATATTATATATTTCTTTTTCCACTTATCTGCTAGTTTTCTTCAAATTCTTCTCCTCCCTCTTTGAGCCAATCACAAAGTTAAAGGCAAGATAAGTTGTTTAACAGAACTAAAGGCATTGGGCTTTGCAGCTTTGGTAAAACCGTTTATTTCCAGCAACTAACTAGATAAAGAGAAGTTGCATATTTCCTAGTTCATCACAGGCGTCTGAAGTGCCAATGCCACTGAAAAAAAGGCTTTAAGATTTCTCTCTTAAAACTAACAGATATCTAAGTAAAGAGAATCTGACATCAAAGCTAACATTCAAGATTTATACTTCCTTTTAAGTCAGTATCATTAGTAGCAGAATGCTTCTTATATATTCTGGTATAGGATGGTACAAAAGCTAATTTAAGGAAGATAGCTATGTGTAGTAAGTGAAATAAGCACTTAATTGTTGCTGAAATTAAATTAAATTTCATGCTATTAACAATATGATTTCCTGGATACTGAACCAGGACCAGTAACAGCATATAAATCGTTTTGGTCAAATTGCTACATACAAGAGAGCTGCAAGTTAGGAAAACTTGGTACATTTAGAAAAAAAAAGTAAAATAGTGGCTTCTACATTTCTGATTCTATTAAGGTTTCAGGCTCCTCATGATCAAAAATATCACTACATTTCTATTGTATGACTTATGTGAAGTGTACTGGTAATACTTTCCTTAGAAACATGCTGAGATCATGTTTTCATACTTGCTTTCTCCTCCACATTTTAATACAGTAGGGTGGTTATGAAAGATGTTTGTTGTTCTGCCACCACAGGCATTTTAATTATTCTGCCAGGCTGCCAGCATAAATTACACATTAGTAAATTGAAAAGAAAACAAACAAAGCAGGAGTGAAGGAAAGACATCATACCTTATGTGCCAGGTGAAAGAGTAAACGGTTCTGGAGACCACTCTTAGGTGCTGAAAGGGAAATTCAGTAAGTATTATTATAATGAACTACTCGCAGGGTATCTCTTTATATTTTTAACTTTCTTTCTCAATAGATATGAATGCACCCCTACTCTTTCATTAACTAGCCCAAGTACAGATCTTCACTGAAAGTCCTTTGCAGATCATACTTTGGGGGAGGTTCTACCAATTTTAGAGTGGTTTAGAGGTCTTCCTCATTCCTATCTTCATTCCCTGACTATTTCTTTTTAAATCCCTGTTGAAAAAATTTTTCATTGGCCTCTACCTTCAATAAGCCTTAAAACTTCTATGAATTGCATTATTGTTTCCCTACAGCGATTTCTCAATCATTCTCTGGGGTTTTTTTTGTGACACTTTTTCAAAATAAAAAGCAGCAACAGATAAACTCAAGGCTCCTTTTATATGTGTCACATTTGGAATAAGTTTTGATTTATAATTCCAGGAATCTTGATAACTTCTACTGTATTGAAAAACCCAGTGCTGCTACCATTTTGTTAGGTACGCACATTACATGATACCTCTAATATTTCTTCTGTCCTTAGGAATGAGAGGCACAGAAAAGAATTCTAGGGACAGAGCAGATAAGATTCAAACTAAGATATGGCAAGAGATTGAAGAGGGATATTTTCTTACTAGAGCCAGTAAAGTGAATGAAATTTCTTGCTCCAGCAGGATTAGGAATTTCATTGATTTCACTCCATATGACACAAATTGTAAACTGCAGAATTTTAAGTCACTACAGCTTTTTGCTTCACCAAGAGCTACACATGTCCTGGTCAAACAGAGCTATTCATTCCTTTTGCAAGCAATGTTCCAAAAAGCCTTCCCTTGTTTCCTGTACTTTTCCTAGCCTAATGAGCACTCTCATTCTTGCTCAGACCAACCAGCTGGCAAAGCATGTTCCACAGAAGGGGTGTACATGGAATCTTTACAAAAAGCAGAATTACTTACTGTGTTTTTAAGGCCACAAAAGTGCAGAGTTAGCACAGCAATAGCCTGTAACACAAGGCTGTAATTCTTCTGACATCCTAAACCATAAAAGAGGGCTCAAACCACCAATCCCTCTTTCCCACCACCCCCTGAAGATGGAATTTATTTTTTAAGCAATTTAGGGAGAGATTTCCAGGTTTCTTATTCTTTCTCCACATAGTAGGTAAACTTTGTAACACAGTGGACAGTGCCAAAACCCAGGCCATTCTGATAAAATTGCCAGCACAAGGCAGCCCATCTACTTCTGTAAGTACAGCAACTATTTCTTCCCTTTTTTCCTTAGCAAGCTGTGTTATTCAACTGTGTTTCTAGAAAAATTAGGACAGTTAATTGTATTTTTAACGAACTACTAGAATAGAAGACCAAAATACAAAGGTGGTATGAAAGCACTCTCACAAGACCACAACATCTTGTAAGATAGTTCTAACAGAGCATCAAGTTGCTGAGGAGCTAAATTGTCTTCAGCCTAGGATATATGTGGGAATTAGGGTATTTATTAAATAACAGAAAATTTCCAGTTTACAATAAATACTGCATAGGCAGCTGTAGTAGTATAACTGACATGATAGTATGTATATTTCATCCAGCGAGTTAGAAAGTGAACAGTACCTTAATTTAAATGCATGCTCTTTACTCTTACATGTTCCCCAGCATTAATTGATAGGTTTCTATATCAAAGTTTAGAAGGGCTGCACATGGACCCTACATGTGCTTTTGTGAGAAGCTTCAACCACAACCATCCTTCAAAATTCAAAACATTTGGTCATCAAAGACTCCAAAAATACAAGCAGGACATATTGTGGGATTTATACTGAAAATAACATATTGTAGAATCACAGAACCATGGGTAAAGACACCAATGTTCCTTTTTTTGAGTAGGTTTTCCTTTTTTTTTTTCCCTTTTGAGTGTGTTTTAGCATTAATTTCACCGTGAAAACCATGACTTGCAAGCAATACTTCAAGAATCTAAACCAAGGAATTTTTGTTTCATTGGTCAACCAGTGAGTGCAGGCTACCCTTGCAAACCTGGCATCTGATCTGACATCAAAATTGTTATTTACTTCTTGGCAAAAGCTGGAACATTAGCCCACATTATTTAACACTTAAAAACAGGCGAAAGATGAAATCTGAGTTTTGATGGTGTGCATGGATATATGTAGGGTGGAAAAGTGTCCTGCTTCATAAGGTATTATATGATACTAGCTATCTGATATTCTTTAAAATAAATTGCTTAAAATCCCACGCAAATATAGCCCTGTCAATATAGAAGCAGAAATATGGAAACATTCAACATCAGCAGTTTCTTTTCTCTCAGTGTCAAATGCATTCTTTAAGGAAGACAAGGCAACATATGAACAAGGTCAGATTAGTTTTCAGAAGGAATGGGGTCATGAATATTGGATAAAGACGCCGTCAATCACTGGAGCAGGAAGTGATACAACTGCCTCATCAGAGACAATGATTTTTAAGGGACATTTAAAGGACATTAGTTTGCTTTTTATTATTCTCTACTGCTACTGAATTTCATTGTCACTGATATATTAATACTACAAGGAAGCACAATCTCCTTTTCTTGTTCTACTTTTTCAATGTAGATGACATTGTACTTTTTCAATGTACAATGACTCTTTTTTTTTTTTTTTAATCAGTACTAAGAAATCTTGGGATCATAACGTACATGATGATAATGCTGCATGGCAACAAACTGGACCCTGCTTCAGGTCTAGTATTGGCCTTGTACTCAAGCATTGAAGTAGCTGGGTGAGATTTATCTCTTTACACCTAGGAAAAGCATTGATCTTCCTTTGCCAGAATTTTTGTCGTGATCAGTGCTCTTTTTCCAGGCACTTGCATCATAGTTGTCATAGATCTTAAAAGTGTTCTGTATATTTTTATGTGCTAACACTGATATTGCACCTACTGAAGTATTTGTTAAAATATAATAAGCAATTAGAGTAAGAATGAAGACATTGTTGAAGACGTCTTCACTAGTTATTAAACAAAATGTCAAACTTACTAGAAATGGCAGCTCAGATCTTTGTGGGTTCCATACTGCTGTCCCAGGCAGTAAAAAGATGATGAAATAGAGTCACGGACAATCTGGAATTTGTCCCCTCTCATAAGAGTGCAAGGCACTGCTGGTCATGCATCCAGCATTAACAAATCCCATCTAGCACATAGTGCATATTCTATAGCAGCCCTTCACACATCGACAGGCACAGAACACATGTTAAACGCACCTAGCAAGAGCTGGTAGCAATGGAGCAGGGCTTAGAAGGCTCCATCCTGATAGCAGAAAATACAACCAGAGGAAACCTTATTCTCCTTGTCCCTGAGAAACAACACTCTGCTCATCTGAACACAGTAGCTGAATGAAGCCCCCTGTGTCTCAAAACCAAAGCTTCACTGCTGGAGCGGGAAAATGAAAGGGAATGGGAAAAATGTTAAAAAAAAAACATGGGCCAGCAGTGAGGTTTACATTTAAACCCATTTGAACAACTCAACTGTTCAGAATTTTCTTGAATGAAATTTATGGAGGATATTCACTGAAATTTTTCCATTCCTACAAAACTTAAATGGCAGTTCAGCCATGTTCAGTTACTTGCAACACACACACATTTAATTTCAGTCATACTAAGCACAAAGTAAATTAAAGATAATCAAATTAATTACTCCTGGGCTGTAGCTTCCACTATACTTAAAAAAACCAGCCAAGAAAATAAGGTTAGTAGCTTTTAGAGTTTAAACATGTAATATTTTCACTTGTGCACTTTGGAATGCCATTTATGAAATGGCTGGTTCAAAACCTCAGCTAAAATGCACCAAAAATAACTACTGTTCTCAAGACAGAGAGTACAAACAACAAAGCAGATAAAAATCATGTAGCTGAACATGCAATCATAAGAAAAGAAAAACCCAGGAACTATTCTGTGCCTGCTTGTAACTGAACATTTTCACTGGTGATAACTATTTCACACCTGAAAAACACTATTTCACAAATAAGAAAAACTGGTTTGGAAAAGATCATTGTTCTTACTAACCCATCTCTGTTCGGCTTTTGTACAATATTGCTTGTTTCAATATAGGCTGTAAAATGAGTTCTCTGTTTAGTTAAACCACATTCAGATCTGACACATGCAGAGATGTGAAGAAAAAAAGTAATTACAAAGCTTTTCCCACCAAAAATTGGAAGGGATAAAAAAACCCCCAACTTTAATGAATGGTTCAGCAATACAACCCTGTCTGTGCATGAATCTTAAATTTAATTCTAAGATTCCATTTATCCTGAAAAGACTGTTTTTCATAATAGACTTAACTGTAGCCCCACTTATGTGCACATTTTGTGGTTTAAAAGAACAATTTTAGTTCTTATGCTTTAGTTCTTAGTTTCTTTCTCAGTGCAAGCCAACAGCTTCTGAAAGCACTATGCTGACTTCTAAACACTTGGATCACTTGTGAGGATCACAGTCCAAGTGTGCCAGGCTGAGTTTCTGTTCTTGGGCCTTTGCAAAGCAAAGAACTATAAATGCAACATAAGAGTATTAGTTTGTATAATGAAAAAGTAATAATTTGTTGTTATTATTATATTCTTAATCAAGATCAATAGTTTAAGCCTCATTCTCTCAAGACAAGATTGACTACTCAGAGCACAGAAAACATATGTTCAGCCAATGCATGAGAACACAGATGCAAAAGGAGGCAGCAAAGCATCACTTGAGAGCTTCATTATGGGATGAGTACAAAATAACAGTAGCTGACTTGGAAGTAACTCTACCTTCACCTCAGAACTAGGAACATTAGTAACTGCAATGTGAGCAGACAACAGGGGAAAAGGAGAAGCTGGAAATACCTGAAAGGATTTTGGAAGAAAGCCTAGAGGAGGTAAAATACAATTATAATGAAAAACCTTCAAGGAGGGTTTTTTCTTTATTGCCTTTTTGTTCTACTTCTTAGGTTATATTTGCAGTAATTCTTTTTTATATGACTTTTTACATTCAGTCTTATTCTTTCCTGAGAGGATCATAGAATGGCTTAGATGGAAGGGACCTTAAAGATTTCTAATTCCAACCCCTGCTGTAGCCATAAACACCTTGCTCAAGGCCTTGTTCAGCTTGGCTTTGAACATTTCCAGGGATAGAACTTCTCTGGGGAACCACCTTCACAGCAAAGAATTTCTTCCTTGTATCTAATCTAAACCTACTCTCTTTCATTCATTTCATAAAAGCCATTCCTCCTTGTCCTATCACTAGATGCTTGTGTTAATAATGGTCCTTATTCAGCTCTCTTTTAAGTCCTGTCTAGGTACTGGAAAGCCTCAATGAGGTCTCCCTGAACTCTTTTCTTCTCCAAGCTGAAAAATCCAATTCTCTTTGCCTTTCCTTGTAGGAAAGGTGCTCCATCCTTCTCATCATTTTGGTGGCCTACTTTGGACTTGCTCCAGTAGGTCCATGTCATTCCTGCGCTGGGGACCCCAGAGCTGGATGCAGCACTACAGGTGGTGTCTCACCCATGCAGAGCAAAGGAGCAGAATCCCCTCCTTCATCCTGCTGCCCATGCTCCTTTGGATGCAGCCCAGGATACAATTGGCTTTCTGGGCTGAGTGCACATTGCTGAGTTGTGTCCAGCCTCTTGTTCACCTGCACTGCCAGGTCCTTCTTGGCAAGGCTGCCCTTGATCCCTTCATCCCCCAGCTGGTGTTGATTCCAGGGGTTGCCCCAACCCAGGTGCAGCACCTTGCACTTGGTCGTGCTGAACTTCTTGAGGTTCTCACAGATCGACCTCTCAAGCCTGTCCAGATCCCTATGGCTGGCATCCCATCCTTCAGGTGCGTGAAGAGCACCACTCAGCTTGGTGTTATTTGCAAACCTGCTGAAGGTGCACTTGATCCCTTCATCTGTGTCATTAATGAAGACATTAAATAACTCTGGTGCCAATGCAGACCCCTGAGGGACACCACTGGTCACTGATGCCCACTGGGACTCTGAGCTATTGATTACTACCCTCCGGATGTGACTGTCTGACCAATTCCTAATCCGCCTAACAGTCTACCCATCAAATCCATATCTATACAATTGTGAGAGAAGAATGTTGTGAAGAACTGTGTCAAAAGCTTTACAGAAGTCCAGATAAATGACATCAATAGCCCTTCCCTTGCCCACTGATGGAGTCACTCCATCATAGAAAGCCACTAAGTTGGTCAGGCAGAACTTGCCCTTGGTGAAGCTGTGCTGGCAGTCCTTAATGACCTCCCCATCCACTCTATTCCATGAAGTTTGAATTAAACAACAACAAGCTAAGAGATCAATTCATGTCTATTATAAAATAAAGATAAAACCTTGCTCCACAAGAGATTGTGGACTATGTATCTGTATGAACACATTAATTACCTCATGGCTTTTAATGATCGTTTCCTAAATTTTACGTATCCTGCTAATTTTTCCTCATTAATGGAATGATGGTTAACAACAATTTCCTTAAGCAACAATAGTATATGGCAAGAAAGAACTTGATTTGATTTCAGGATATTTACATGTTTGTGTGGCAAATCTATTCCAGAAAGCTAGCTGATATTTATACTCCCTCTCACACAGATATTCTGTCACTGTAGAAATTTAGAACTATAGCTGAAACTAAATTAGTTCTCCTGAATTTGTTTTAGCAGTATGCTACTTTCATAGGTTTAGCATAACTGCAGCAATAAACAGCATGCACTACACAAGAATTCAGGCAAAATAATCCCAAAATAGCAATGGTAAAGAGTCTAATAGTAACACTACCTATCATTTTTTCAGTGATATTCAAGGCAATATTAGATAAATGGTGCTCTTCTAAAGACTTTTCCTCTTCAAAGGAAGTATTTTTATTTTTCTTAAAGGTCTTTGCAAAAGTGTGGAAGAGAGCACAAGACAATATGGCCTCAGCTGTCAACACTATATTGCAAACAGCCACCACTGATGCAATCCCAAATTGTTAAAAAAACCGAAAAGAGGATCTGACTTAAAAATAAAAAGCTTTAAACTCAATATAAGAAAGATTGAAAGGGGAATATACCACACTTACAAGCTAACAAGTGGAGAAAGGACAAGTATTACAAATCCTCAGCTGTGACTGCTTCCCCACCAAGCTTAAGTAGCCAGAAATCACCAGGATTACAGTACTCACAACAAAGGTCTGGCACCTCATTATAAGAACTGGCATGCTGTCCTTCTTAAACAATTATGTAAAATCAAGAATTGATCAGGAACTGAACTAATGTGACCACTCCATTATTTTCTGTTCCCTCCCTCAGCTCTTGCTTTCTTAATATTCCCACCCTTGCCTCCAGCACCCAAGTACCACTAACTGCACCCCTTGCTCTGCCACTCACCATTCTATTTACTAACTAATCTGAAGGGGCATGACAAACACCAACCTTCCCTCTCCTCCAGCTCACAGTTAATAAGTGTGCATGCCAGCTGTGTATATGTCATCTCTAGAATGGATGGCTGTAACTCACAAGATGTGAAGCAGATGACAATGGCTCCAACTGGTACAGGATGCAGCTCCTTGCTTCCCCCATGCTTTAGGTCACAGTGACACCTCAAAGCTCTATTGCCCATTTACTTTTAGATTCACTTCAAGTTCTAGGTTGCAATCTCCAAAGCTCAAATTTGTGGTACATTAAAGATTAAATTACTTGTGAATATTAGAAATTTACACACCTCTGGAACAATGCAAAACACAAAGCTCTGCATGAGGTTTTTTTACAATTGAAAATAAAAAAAAAACATTTTTTTTTCTAGTTGTGGGATTCAAGCTCAGCATGATCTTTTCGAGGATTTTAAAGGGATATGAGAACCTAATTATTTTTTTTTAATGATCCAAAGCTATCCTTTTGGAAGACATTCTTCCACAGCAGAAGAAAGTACACTACTATTTTCTTCCTACTCTATTTTGCAGTCCAAGACAAGAAGACTAATGAAAGAACAGAGAAAACCCATCCTTCAATAAGAGTTTTATCCCAAGAAGGCAGGTCAGAAGTTGAGTGGGATATCACTACTACTAATTTTACTTAAAAAGCACTGAGATACTATGGTTATAGAAAACAATCTAAATCACTAAGATACATAAAAAGTGATGGGCAACAAAATTAAACTACAGAAACATTTTTAGGCAGTAAAAATTGCCCTGGAATCTAATTTTCATTCCTCCTCTTTAAAGGAACCCATGCATGTTCAGATTTAAGTAGAATTGTAATAATGTGACTATTGAACTCTGTACCTGGAAGAACCAGATACCAAACATCAGACTTACAAGGCAACGAGACCACCTACTAAGTCACTCAAACTACATAAACAGACCTCTTGTCTTCATCAGGGAGAATGCTTAGCTCTTTCAGATACTTATTTTTTTATGATTTCACAGGCTTAATTTGTTTCATCTGCACTGGCTCAGGGACACAGAATCAGTCAAAAGAAAAGTAACCTTTTGTTGCTGGTTGGCATATGCTGGGTTTTGCATTTAGAAATTAATAAGATAAATTATTTTCCAGATGCTTCCTTTAGTTCCAGCTGCTCCACACACCCAAGGTATTCTTAGGAAGGAAACTGCATCATAATTCTCTCGTTAAATGAAAGTTAAAATTAAGTAACCCTCAAACAAAACCCCAAACCCAAAAAACTTTGCTCTAAAGTATCCTTGATTGCAACCTTTTCTGGAAATTACTTTAAGTGTTCAAACCAATAACAGAGCAACACATCTCACCTTTCAAGGCTGCTTGCTCTGCTTGCGTGTACATCCCCAGAAAGAAGTAGGTACAGGCAAGGTTCACCCAAACATCTGGTTTGCAAGTTGCTTGCTTGGTTAAAGCCTCATATTCCTGTAACAGAAGAGAGGGCTGATTTTAAAAAAATGTGTAATAGCGCATACTTGTATTAAATATAATTCTTTCTTCCACAATTTTACAATGTATCATTAAATTACTGAAATCAAACAATTTATTCTGAAGTTCACTGCAGTCCTTACAACAAAACTGTTATTTTAAGCTATGTCCCCACCTTTTTGTTTACAACAATATAACGGACCACAGGGACAAGCAGTGCCATAAATCATCACATATAAGCAAGATTTCTGTCAATATTGAAGTTACAGAGCTATAAAACATATTTATATTGTAAATATATTATAATAAAAATATTATTTACATATATAAGCCCCAATATAAGTAAGCTATAAAAGCATCAATATAATCAACTTCTGTTGCTTTCTTAAGTTCTCCTCCAGTCAAAGCCTGGGAGCCATAATCACCAGGGAAATCTCTTTGTGAATACTTACTGGTGCAAGTGTTAAATGTGTTTTTGTAAACCTGTAGGTAGTGTCTTAGTGTATATTAAACCTGTGGAAGTGTGTGTTAAGTCTGAGGTTATGTAATATACAACATCAAGTGCAGGAAGAAAAATTTTTTGTACTACTAATAACTAAAATAAGTATTTTAAATTGCATTTAATTTTATCACATCCTTTTTTTAGTTCCTATTTTTGTCTATGTTTTATAATTACATATTAGTACAGTGGTACATGTATATAATTTATAAATGTATAGATGTGTGTATATACATTGGGGATGTGTACTCAAAATTTTTTTACTAATAGGGGTACAGCAAAATTGCTTGGAGACCACTGCATTAAAATGCAAGCCTAAAAATTGGTATTGGGCAAATTCAAGATCTCCTTATAGATGAAGATTAGTAATTTGTAGTAAATATTAATAACCTGTTCCTAACTTTACCATTTCCCATTTTAAGATTTACAGCCAACAGCTATAGAAAGGCTCGATAGCATATTCTGATATTTCTTACACATCCACATTGATTACACATGCTTTAATTCTGCCACACAAACGTCTTCATTTCTTGTTATCTGTGAAACAGCAAAACTTAATAGATCAATCTTTCAATCTACTTCTTTTAAACAAAAAAACTTTGGAGCCACTAAACAATTACACTCCTGAAGATAAGCATCTTTTCTCAGTGTAACAACAGGTACTAAAAACAGAGGCATGGAGATCTCTAAATGACATTTTTTTCCTGTGTCACTGTTCTGATAGATTCCTAGGAAGCACCATCCCAATGGAAGTGCCTGCTGCTGGTGCTCCTACTCTTCATCCAGCCATGGAGGCATGAAGCATAAGGCAAAGCAGGCATCATGCAAGGTTCTCATCAGACCTGCTGAAGGAATGTCATCCATGTACTCCACATCACTGCAAGCCACTCATCCCTCCCAGCAAAACAGCCTCTTGACTCTGTACTTGTTCCCCAAACATGAAATGGAAGCTCCCTCTGCCTAGGGAGAGTTTAGCAGATTGAGCCTCTGTGGGTGGGAGACTTCTTACCTCTGGGGAAAAGGACAGAGATATATATACATAATGAGATAAAATAAGCCATGCCCAAAGGACAGAAAATCCCAGGAACACAAAAATGCTGATAACAATAAAGTTTTGAGCTTGCAAGCATAAAGAATTAATTTTTTTTGTTGCCAAATAAAAGTAAACTGCACTCTGAAACAGAGAAGAAACTCGTAAGGAGCACCTTAAAAGCCAGCTCAGTCTTGCTAATATTTCAGGGACTAGCTGTCCAACAATATTTACAATAAATAAATATAAATATCATAAACATCATCATAATAATGATTAATATTTTTTAAAATAAAACATTTTCATAGAGGCCAACCTTTCCTACTGAGGCCAGTTTAATCTTGATGTAGGCCTGTCAAGGAGCTCTGAGATATAGGCCACTGCTGTTTATTGGGACCATCTGGAATCTTTCAAAATTCATTCAGATTAAATGCACCCAAAGGTCTCTCTTGACTAGGGCTTCAGGCAGATTAATTAGAAAAGACAAAGTGCACAAACAAAAGTCATGTTATGGCCTGGCCCTTCAAAGTAAGCAATATATAAAGAGTGTTCTACCAGTACCAATGTGAATCTACGGAAATATAAAATAAAAATTAGGACTATTAGTGCTCCTTACCCTGTAGTTCTGGGCCATGTGTCTGGACTATGTGCTGTTGCCCGTTTCCTCACTGAAAGCCATTCAACATCAGTCTCTCAAAGACTACTTCACAAGAACTTTCTCCCCTACTTTCTAAATAAACCAACAAACCCAAACAAACTAAATACTCTCAAACTTGTCCTAAGAGTCAACCTGTGGCATGCTTTTGCCATCCAGCAGCATTAACAACTCCTTGCTATTTTACTGTCCTCCTCCTCATACCTCTATCACTAGACACATGCAGTTTTCCTCAAAAGCAAGCTGCCAGGTCAATTGTCCACAACTATGGACATGTACTGACCATGTGGAGGGCCAGCTTAATGCCCTTATTACATGTCTGGATTCTTCAAGCCCATAAACACAGATGCTGAAGAGCCAATAAACAAGCCATCTATGGCTGCTCAACATGTGGTCAAAGAGATACTTATTGTAACCTGGCTACAGACATCATAGAGACGCCTAAAGAACTCCCAGAGCTAAAAAAATCCAGTTTTTACTTTGTCTTCAGCTATCAGGAACTGGAGTGTACCTGTATTCTCACACTTCTCACAGAATTACTCAAGCATGACCAGACACTGACCATGGATGAACAATTACCCTAGTACAGCCCTGGTCCTTCCATGACTTAGGATTCGACTAAAATTATCCTGAGCCAAGCTGGCAGGAGGTCCTGATCAGTGAAGTGGTGGAACTGCTCCTACTTCTCTGCCAGGTGGCAGATTGGAGAGACTGTTGCTGGCTGGTTGTAGGATTTTGACAGAAACAATGCATTGAAGGCTCTGGCCCAGGGATCATTCTTTGCTCTCATGTGTGTAGCTGATGAACCAAAATGGCATTAGCATGTCCAGCAGCTGCACCATGTGTGCCTAGAAGCAGAGGGTACAGACTGCAAGTGTGAAACTTGTTCTTGAATCCAACCAAGAAAAGCACCTGCCCATGCCAATTTGTCTCATAAATTTTTTTAAATATACGTATAGATATAGATGTAGATACAGATTTTTAAAAATTTAATAAACCATCACTTTCTTAAGGCCCCAGCTGATTCAATTTATAAGACCAGGCAGCTCAGAAACAGAATAATTGGCCTGATGCTCTAGTTCTGGTACCTGGGTGACACTGGGAAATTTTTCAGAAGATTTAAGATTTGAGCCATGAACAAATGGCAGCTGCTGCAGAAAGACAGATGATTTTTTTTCCCATTATGGACACTAGAGGTGGAAGATTCCAGAAAACTAATTAGATGTCACCATATACTACGAAAGCTCTGGTTGCCATATGATGCCAGGAAGACACAAGCTACTCAGTAAAAAATAAGTTTGTCCATGAAGGAAGCTAGTCAGTCCCTCAGGAAGAACTGCACCATCACTGCTGAAGAGTCAAGCCTATTGCAATAGCATTTGTAAACTGGGGTACAGCAGTAGGGATGATCCCTACCAGACCAGTGGCAGTGGCATAACCTTTGAGAAAGGCATCTGCTGTTAAGAAGGGGAAAGTATGACCCCAGTGAGGCTGAGGTTAGTGCCCTACCTAGAGGACGCTTAACAGTTGTTGGTGTGCCTGTGATAAGAGAATGTGAATTCTCTCACATGAACGTGACAGAGATTTTGCTGTCATTCTCTCTGAAGATATTTCTGGAGCTGGAATGGACATCTGTGTGTTTTTCACTTATTCCCTGTTTCTCCTGGTGGTGCATGATGGCCACCTCATCACAATTCCCAAGCTTCTCCAAAAGTTGCTATGCAACCAACACGCCTGGCTCACTAAGAAAGTATCATCATTAATAAAAGCATGGAACAGTGTGATTTCTGAAGACCCTCATCAGGTACATGGACCATGAACTGTTATACAGTGACACATACTAAGTGTTGTCACTTGCAGGAACACATAGCAGTGTAAATCATTTAGGTTATATGCAATGTCATTCTAGATAATTCAGCAGAATCTTTGACCCATAGTATTTTATCTACAGTGCTTTTGGCACTCCCCAAAGAGTGCTCCAAGATCTCAAGGATGTAGATTATCAAGGAATTTGTCCTTGAGAATACAGCAACAACACCTCTGGAACATAGCAGATGAGATAGCAGCATTTTACACTTCAACATGGAATTTGATAACTAAAAGGCAGTTCAGCCTCCGCGGTGGAATGAGACCTACAGTCTTAGAAATTAAAACTAGAGTGTTCTGTCCCCAGAGAAACTATGTTGAGATGCACAGGCTCCTTTCCCACATGCCACCACAAAATTACAAAGCTATCAGGACTTATCACTGTGCAAAAAACCAGCATTAAATCCGGGAAGACAAGCCCTGTGATCTCTCACTTAAAACATACACAATCAATCAAACTACAAATCGCTCATACAAACCTTTTATTGTCCCTTCTTGGGCAGATAACCAGGAAAATGAAGGCTATGTTGCAGTGTTTAAAAGACCGAATCAAGAGCATCACCTAGTGGTGAATCAAACACCACATGCAAAAACTAATTAGGAAAATTAAAAAAAAAAGCAGCTGCCTTTTCGTTGAAGGGAACATGTAAAATTTACTCTGGCTATAAAAGCATCTACTGGGTATTTAAAAAACAGAATTTATTTCAAATTTATTTTCAAACTGTTTCTTATTTCAAAGAAATTCCAAGTTATTTTCCATCTCTATATGAACACTTTTCTTTTTTTAAACTTGCACTGCCTATTAACACCTAATACATGGATGTAAATTAACTACAGCTACTGATTGTTGTATTCATAGTATCTAAATTCCACAAGTCTAAACATGAATATTAATTTACTGTGATGTCCTGCACTACTTCTATACTGTGATTACCATCCATTTGATTCACTGAGCATTTCTAATAACTCTAACAGATGTTTTTCTCGTCAATTTTTAAAGGGCAGAGTGCCTTGTGCCTTTCTTACTTAGAAGCTTTAGAGTTTTCAGCTCATGTATGCATCTTGTGCATGTGACCATTTATCTAAGAGAGAAAATATCATCATTGTTCTATAATCTATTTCTTTTCTTTTTATTATCTTTTGTTAATACTTTAACATCTGTTTTTAATATTGATTCTGGGGAAAGCAAGTTCACAGACTGCAAAACCGGCTATACTTCGGTTACATTTCACAGTGAAGGGACACAACAGAACTGTAAGAGGTAAACATTAAAATGTACATATTTGAACAATTACCATATATTTTAGTGATGTAAAGCTTTTAGAAAAAAAGACCACCTCATTTAATTGAATTACCTAATACAAGAAAATGCAAAGAAGACCAATAAAGTACATTAAATAGTCAGGGGCATCAACCTCTAAAGAAAGAATTTTTTCATACCTATCACAGATAAGCTACACAATGAAGACAGAAATATTATTAAACCTCAGAAATGAAACTGTGGAAACCTAGCTGCAAAAAGGGAATGATGGATTTAGGACATGAACAATGACATTCAACAGAACAAATTAGGCTACTGACCCTAGTATGAAATAAGTCAGTACATAATATTTAACAAGTTCTATTTTCATAGGCAAAATACCATATTTTCCCCCAATCCAAACTGCTTCCCAGAGCATCTGCCTCATTACTGTACATTTGTACCTTAACTGGCTAGCAGGGCTTTTCCCTATTACAGACCATCTTCCTCCTGCTGTCCTTATTTTATCACAACATCCCAGTTTCCAACCTCGGGAAGCAGGATTTCCCCACCTTACCTCCAGAGCTCTCTTGTAGTCACCCAAATGAAACGCACAGTATCCAATCCAAAGGTTGCCATCCTCCTCCTCCTCCGCTACGTGCTGTTTAAACTTTGCAGGGAATAAAGAATATAAGAATTTTGTCAGCTGCCAGAGTTTCTAAAACCCCACAGATAACCAAAGCAATACTAGGCTATCATATATCACGGACGGTTTGACAGCTGTGGATGCTGCTGGGATGGAGCTGCTTTCACATTTCCAAGGGCAGCAGCAGGCAGCCCTCACAGGCCAAACCCGGCTCTGTGAAGCGGGGAGCAACAGATGCCGCTGCAGGGCCCAAGGGGGCGAGAGGGTCACAAGGCAGGGGAAGGGATGCTCTCGCCCCGCAGCCCTGAGGGCACAGCGACGATACCGCTCTCCCGAGGGGAGCCCGTCACCTCCAGCAAGGCGATCGCGCCGGTGAAGTCCCTCTGGGCCAAGAGTTCTTCCAACTGCGGCACCTCCTTCCCTTTCTTCCTCCGTCTGTCTCCCGGCGGCGGGGTACCCCCCACGGCCGGCTTGGCCCGAGAGAGCATCTGAGCAGAGAGCAAAGAGGAGCCGGCTCAGAGCGGGCTCTCCCTCGGCGGTGCCTTCTCCGCCGCGTCCCCTGTCCCGCCGCGCCTCGCCATCCTACTATCCCTTACCGCCCCGCCGCCCCTCACCATCCTGCGATCCTTCACCATCCTACCATCCCTCACCGCCCCGCCGCCCCTCATCATCCTGCGATCCCTCACCGCCCCACCGCCCCTCAGCATCCTGCGATCCCTCACCGCCCCACCGCCCCTCACCATCCCGCGATCCCTTCCCGCCCCTCACCATCCTGCGATCCCTCACCATCTACCATCCCTCATCGCCCCGCCATCCCTCACCATCTTGCGGCCGGGCCCGGGCTTCGCGTTGCGCCGGCGGCGCCGTTGCCGGGGTAACGGCGGGACGGCGGAAGGCCGCGGCGAAAGGGCGCCGGCTGACGACCGGCGCCGTCCCCAGGGTTCCGCCTCCCCTTCGGCGGGCAGCGATCTCCGCGGAGGCCGCCTCAGTGAGGAGCGCGCTGGCTCCTCCCCCAAAGCCCGTGGCGCTTCCTCTCCTCGCCTTTGGGCCCTGGCCTGAACATCCGGGTCCTGCGCTTGGGTCGCAGCAATGCCACGGGTTTGGGACAGTGGCTGGAAAGCAGCCAGGTGGAAAAGGACCCGGGGGTGCTGGCTGACAGCGAGCCAGCGTGTCCAGGTGGCCAAGAAGGCCAGTGACATCGTGTCAGATAAAATGTGGCCAGCCCCTGTACACTCGTGAGGCCACACCTCGAACCCTGTGTCCAATTTTGAGCCCCTCACGACGAGAACGACGTTGAGGGGCTGGAGCTTGTCCAAAGGAGGGCGGCAAAGCTGCTGAGAGATTTGGAACAAAAGTCTAATTGTCCCAAAATAGGGGTTTTTTTTCACCCGGTGTTCAAGAGGCCAGTCCACACACAAGGTCTTTGATGTATTTACAGTTCTGCACAGAAGAGGGTGCTGGGTGGCAAGCGCACAAAGCCAGCATGACAACTACCAAAACTTTTCATTGTTTATCCATTTTAGCAAACAAAGGCATTAAGGTCCATTGTCCGCAAATTACAAAGTTCCCATAATAATCAGTAGCCTTTCTTCTATTGATTAATGAGTCTCTCACTTTTAATGCTGATTAGCCCACATAATCTTTTGGGTGAGTGGCCATCAGTCAGTGGTCACAATTTACTGCCAATTACCTTGTACCCAGCTGGGGCTGGTTCAGCACAGTCGCTGAGCTGTCTTTATTAGTTTCTTCCTTGTCTTGGGGGTTCTGCCAAATGTCCTTGTGGCCTATAAATTCTACATTCCTTGTGTCCATTATCAGTGGTACATCCTTATTCCCAAGCTTTGTTAACCTCCATATAGGTCTGAGATCATTGAAATATGTCAAGCCCTAAACCTTGACAAGGCAGTTCTACCAACAACTAATTTGTCTCTCTAAAACCTGGACATCACTTAGAGCTTGCTTGTTAGCTGCTCCCTAGCTAAAAAGAGATTTTTCACAGATTAAATCTCTTTTTGATTAGTCTTGAAAGTATACAAAGATAAACATCAAAGAACATATTTTCATAAGATTAATAATGTAAGGATGAGTGGCTGAAGAAGCTGGAGTTGTTTAACCTGGAGAAAAGGAGACTCAGGTGACATCTTACTGCTTTCTACAGTTACCTGAAAGGGGGTTTTAGCAAGGTGAGGGTTGGTCTCTTCTCCCAAGTGACAAGTGGAAACAGCTTCAAGTTATATTGTTGGAGGTTTAGACTGAGCATTAGGAAAAAATTCTTCACTGAAAGGATGGTCAAGCATTGGAACAGGTTCTCCAGGGAAGTGGTGGAATCACCATCCCTGGAGTGTTCAAAAGACAAGTAGATGTGGCACTTAGGGACATGGGAACTGACAGACCTGCAGTGTTAGGTTGATGCCTGGACTCAATGACCATAGAGATCTTTTCCAACCTTCTATGATTAGAAATGTCAGTGCAGAGGACTAAAACATTACACTACTGCTGACAACTCAACTAACTAAAAAAAAACATATCCATGGGCAGAACTAATGAAGTATCTGCATTTCTACCTTTATCGGGAAAAAAACCCCAGCTTTTGTTTTTGGTATGAATAAATATATCCTGTCAGATTGCAATCATCTGTAATACAGACCAGCAGTAAAGAACTGTGTGCTGCTTCTTCAGAGTGTGGGTTCCATATTTACTGTGTCCCACTCACTTCAAGATGGCTTGACCCAGGAATGATACACCCAGCTTGGAGCTCTGAGAGATTGCTCTGCAACCAGAAACCACTGGAGCAGAACAGCACTGTGACGGTGTCCCTTGATGATGAATGTGCTTTCACACCACAGGCCACAAAGAAGGAAGGCAGATACTCCACTCTCCCACAAAGGATTTCTCTGCAAGAAGTTAATTTTTAATTACTTAGTCAAAGTGATAAAGAATGTTTGCTAGTAATTTAGTCTGCTTTTATAGCTCTTCTCTATTACGTAAGGTATTATTTCTGTCAGGAGAAAATTAATATCCATAAATAATTCTGAAATTATTTGCCCTTTCAGAGGTTTGATTTCATGTGGTCAAGCAGATAGTACAATTAGGTAAGATTCTTTTATTTTTTTTGAAGAAAAAGTAACTGAAAATTCAATTTTACTACATTGCTTTCTTCTGGTTTTTAACAGATTCTTTCAGAAGACCCCGTTGTTCTAAGGATCAACATAAATACAGCTAAAATATTAACTCAAATGAAAGAAAGCTCTCAGCTGCTCCACTGGTTTCTCCCATTTCCAAGTGGCTCCTGAATTTGTATGTGGTGGATCCAAAGCTGGGGAATGTCCAAGAGCTAACATACACAGTGTCAGTGGGTTAGCTGTGGGCACAAGAATGACAATGTCAGCTGTGATAAAAAGTGATAGCAGCATCAAATTGACCAAAATATTTTTAGCATGTCTGGTGTAGAAATTTTTACTAAGATGCAATACAAAGTAGGTGGAAATGTTATAGTTTTTCCTCATTTGAAACACTAAGATGACAATTCATAAATTAAAGACAAGTCAAGAAGTTTGTCTACACTAGAATAATACTGGAAAACTGCTGCAGTTCTTACCTCCACTATTCTTTTAGCCAGTGCCATTATCCTGAGCCTACGAGCTCTAAAATTATTAATGATCATGTTTATTTCCACACAGAATTGCTGGGAGAATGGGAATTTACTCACACTAATGGCAGCAAAAGGGAAATCATGCATTCATGACTAAACACCAAGGTAATCATCAGAGGGTGCAATGAGTGTTTAAATAAAAAACCAGAGACTGGAAAGTGAGATCTAAGAAAAGGAGATGAAGGAAATTTTAAAAAGGGAAAGAAAACAAAAGCAAGAAGTGGAAAAAACCTTATCATAATATAAAGTAAAGCAAGAGGTTAGGACATGACCTTTGCATCAGCAACAATCATGTACTTCAATTTCCACAATATCTGGGTAAGATCATGTTCTTTCAGTAATGATGCTTCACCATGTTCTGTGTCTTGTGCCTTTGAAAATGCACCTGACAACATCTGACATCTCAAGATAAATGATACACAAAAGTGAGAGCAATGAAATGCTCCCCTGCTACAGCTACAAAGGCAATCCCTTGAGATGAGAAAATGGGAAATGATTCCTTTTAAGCGAGGAACTTGAACAATACTTGCTTCTTTTTTTCATGGCACCAGCAACTTCTGAGTCTTGATCTACCCTGGCTGGACCACCCATGATGAGAGAAGCCGAAACACGTAAGTTGATGGATCATGTGTACCTTTAATGCTTTTGTTCTGTCTCTATTACCCAGCTCAGGAAGGCAAACAAATGTTGTGTCAGTTAAAGACCTCCAAATGGTGACATGAAAATTCATCATTTTTAACTTTATTTGGAAAGGGGAAACTTTAGTTTTCATTCATGTTTATGTCTGTTATTTTTATGGGTCTGTGGAAAATGCACCTTCAGAATTTTCTGATATTTCCAGCATGTACCTGACATCAAGATTCAGTCAAGTTAACAAAAAAGCTGTTCTTGTATTTGATTTTAGCATTACATTTAGGTAAGTTTTTAGAAGTTTATATATGTAGAACCAAAGGAGGGGAGGCAAGACAATCCACTGGTCCAGTATGAGTCAGTGATAGAACTGAAAATGGAATGCATGGTGAGCTGTGTCTGCACAAACTTATCCAAGCCAGAAAGCCACATCGCTGCAGGTGCTGTGTCCCAAAGAATGCAGTTGTACTGGCCCAGGACATGTGCTTATATAACTGCACAATGTTCCGCTGCCATCTGGATTTACAGGATCAAGTGTGCACTAGCTTGAATATCTCATAACTCCATCCCAGCACATAGTATAAACATGTGTAATGTTTAATAGAAAGAGGTTAAGAAAACTGAAATATATGTCCAGGACATAAATTATTACACATTCAAGCCATTTCCCTTTGTAAAGATAAGCAGAACAGATGTTTGTCCATTAAGGATAGCTTACATTTGTCTCTTGACAGAGATGTATCCTGCTGAGTGTGTAAAAGAGGCAAATCAGTACGCTGAAAAGGTGAATATGTCCTGTCACTCTGGAAGCAAAGTCCTTTAGAGAAAGAAAACAGTAGTTAATAGGAAAGACTTCCTACTATTTATTTTTGTAGTATACAAGTTAGGTGGATAAAAAATATTCACATCAAAATGTATATATGTGTTGGGAAAGAGTTAACAGGAAGAAGACTTTCTTAATTGAGCTAGATGTTTATGACACATCACATATTTAGCTTCACCTTCTGGTAGTGGCAACATAATAGATCAATAGGAAGATGGGGCCACCACCCAAGCTGTTGGTAATATGATGCAATTCCACTTTCCTTATCCTTGTCTGTAGCGTTCCTCTTACTAGAGTGATAACTTCTGATGAGAACAGTCAGTGCTTTGCAGTGTAATTTCATTCTAATCTGTGCCAGCAACTAAATTATGGCAGGAACCTGA